TTAAGGTATTTGGTGAATAGGGATTTTCGGGTAAGAAATGCAATTATCCAAAATAAGCGGACCAACTATATTATTATCAAAATAAGGTCCGTACTAAGATAAGAGTTTAATTTCCCTAACGAGGAAATATTAGAGTTTAAGGAAGCGGAAATACGGAAATTGTTTATAAGTTACATCACCAAAAATAAAATAAGCATAGTTTATAGACCCCTCGTACGACCCTCCAAAAGCTTCGGCCAAGACTCCGATCCACAACTCGGTCCATTCCGGCGCGAGATTACTACTACCTGCAATCAAAAAAGTATCTATATGAGCTATTAAGCCCAGTAAGAAATCCGAATGGATAACGAGGTTTTAAAATATGGTTTTACGTACTTATATTAGTATATATACATAAGCACGAAATTTCGTTTAAGCACGTAAATCGACGTAAATGCTGAAAATTTCCAATTTACCCTTTTTTTCGACTCAAATACTAAAATTTTACCATTTTACCCTTTTCGTGCAAATGCATGAATGAAAACATTTTCTGTCGTTCGGATCCGTGAAAAATTAACTTCTTTACTTGGATGATAAGCATATTATTCTGAGCCCGTTCTTTTGGTGGAATCAAACCACCCCTTTATCTATAGTAACTATGGTTGGGATACCGGCCCCCCGTATCCCGACTTATCCAACCCAAGCATTCCATTAACCTTTCCTTTCGTAAAAATGAAATCTCTTTTTATGCAAGACCATGAGACGAATGAGACTCTAAAAATGACCACTTTACGACATCACAAATATCAATCAACGAGCATACAAATAAATCCAATTATCCACATAATACACACGGCAATCACACACATATCATACCCACATATATATAACCACTTAAATATAGCACATAATTCACATAGCATCATATTATATATTTATATATCATAAATTACACACACAACAACACACACACACACGGCACACACATATACACACAACATGCAGCCCCAAAACACACTTTAATTAGCATTAAATTAGCAAACCATGCCCTTAAAGCACCAACATTCTTATCATTTCATTTATGGGATTTCTCCCACTTTTATTCATTTAATGAATTAAAATTCTTTCAGCCCCTTAACATATTTCAGCTGCAGATTTTTAACCATCAATTCACATTCTCACAATTAATACCCAAGGCATAATGATTAAAACACAAAAGTTCTATTTATGACACATGCACAAGCAATATTTCGAAATAATAGCAAATAGCATCTAAAAATTCTCAAATTTAATTATATGCTGCCTAACTGACTAAATGAACAGATGCAAAAAGAATTTTGCAGTTTCCTCAAAAATCGGATTTATAAAAAATAAAATACTCGGCAAGTAGTGTTGAAGCCAAAAATGATTTTCCCAACAAATATTAATCCAAAACTAAGGCCAAATAGCAAATAATCAAATTCCACTTACTCCTATTGAGATTTTAAAGATGAAAACATTTTTCATTGCTGAAATTTCAAGAAATTGCAGATTAGTCCTAAAAATTCATGGATCTACACATGCAACCCCAAAAATCTTGAAAACTCATTTTCTTTTCCTAAAATTCCAAAAATTCGAAATATTAAACCTTTAAACACAAAATGCTTAGATTCACAGATTATAACATGGATTAGACATGCAAGAATACAAATAACAAGATTAGCATAAGATTTCGGATTTCACACAAAAAGCCCTAATTTTTCGAAAAGTGAGGAAATTTTTTAGGTAGTTTTAAAAAATCATTTTCCATACTATGATACCCTTCGATTGCAGCAAGAAATTCGAGATTTCTTACCTATCAAAGCGTGTTGGCCGAAGAAAGAAAAACCTTCAAAAGAAAAGAGGGTTTTTAGAGAAAGAAAAGGAGGATGAAGAAAATGAAGAACACAAAGATGCAATGTTACCTCTTTCAAGAAGTGGCTCCAAGATTGAACCAAGCTAGTTGAATGGAGAAGGTAAGAGCTTTGATATCAAGTTGGGAGGAGTTTAAATCTCCCGTAAGAGGGCAAGTGTTTTTGATGGTGTTCTTAGCATATTCAAGGGTGAAGCTTATATAGGGGATTTGCATTTTGATTTCTCTATTTTTTTCTTGAAGAATTTTGAGGTGTGGGCCGATGGAGGAGGTGGTGCTTCGGTGGTGATGGTGAAGAGAAGACAAGTGTGGAGTGAGGTGGAGAGAAAAGAGGAAGGAAGGGTGTCTCTTGGGATGACTAATCCACATTGAGTGTTGGATTGGTGTAAATCATCACACTTTGACATGTGGACAAGCATGCATCTTTTCTAATTTTATTTTCTAATAAAAAAAATCACTAATCTCTCTCTCTCTTACTCACATAAACCGAACACACACATATATAAATACATATACCTATAGTCTAGAGTAACATAGCTTATATAGCATATGCATATATGTATGCATACATGTACGTATATATGCATGTATTATGCATGTAATTATGATTAAGTCATGAAATCATATAAATAAATTACTTATACACATAAGTCACATAATTTAATCTAGCACACAATTATCAATAATTAATCTACTTAAGCACATAATTATCGAAATAAAACTGCCACATAATTATTCAATGAATTCCTAGTACATAAGGCATATAATCAAGTCGGCATATAAAGATTATTAGTATAGGCAATATAAGGCACTTAAGGAATTTAAGTTAGTAAGGTAAATAAATTCCTTATAATTCCTACGTGAGAATTTTCGTGTTATGGAACTTTGGTTAGGGATTAGGGTTTCGAAAATGTGGGGTGTTACAGATAAAATGATTACTTTGACTGTAGAATAAATTTGTGAATATTTTCTTCAAGTCCAATTCTCAAATATAGTAATTTATGATATTTTTGGGCAATTATAAGGGAAAATGAAGAATTGTGTTGGAGAAACGTTTTCGGGGTATTGTGTTTTTAGAGAGGGAAAATAATTTAATTATGTGTATGATTTAGTAATTTTCGTGTAAATTTAACATTTCAGTTCCCAAAAACCGCCGATTAAGGGTAAAACGATCATATTACTTAGCTTCAGAAGGGTCTGACTAATTAAGATCAGAATCTGGGTTTTGACTAGGACAAAAAAAAAATCATAGGACCTTCTCATATAAATTTTCAAAACTAAGGGGTTATCTTACATTCTCCCTAAATTATTGGGAAACACGTGCGCATGGAAGAAACTTCGACCGTCGTTCCTCCCAAGAGGAAAAGAGATGAAGATCACTTCGACACCCAACCACGAGATGACCGACGAAAATCGTCAACATCTCATGGAAAATCCCCTTCTAAATCTCTGGACTTCCAATGATGTCAGTGACACTTAGAGCCTCTCGAGCCCATCACATAGTTGGCACTTATTAACTATTTTCATATGAATATGTAGGGGTAATATGCTAGAGGTCTCTAATTGGAAATATAATTAGACGTAGAATACAACCTTAATATTTTTTTATGAACTAAATCTTTTTTAGAAAAATAAATATGAGTCACATCCTCATTTTTCTTTTATCCCTAATTTGCCCTTAACCTAAATCCATTCTAAAGTCACGTTTCTCTCAGATTTATTTTTCTTTTTTCTTCTCTCTTGCTCTCTGTCTCGCAATCTCTGTCTCTCGCAATATTTCTCTTTCTCTCTCTCTCTCTCTCTCTCTCTCTCTCTCTCTCTCTCTCTCTCTCTCTCTCTCTCTCTCTCTCTCTCTCTCTCTCTCTCTCTCTCTCTCTCACACAATCTTTCTTTCTCTATTTTTTGATATCTCTATCTCTCTCTATCTTTTTCGTTCTCCATCACTCCAATCACTATTGAGGGGGGTAGTGGTTATGGCGGTGGAGACGACGGCAATAAGAGGATGGCTGTAGAGGCAAGGCGGCGGCGGCTATGGTGGTGTAAGGTCAGATCTATGGTGGAAGGCGCGGTACGGTGCTAGGCATGGATGATGGCGTGACGACGACGCTCGGTTATGGTGGTGGTGGTGGTGGATGGTGGTGGTGGTGGAGGAGCGAATCTAGGGTTTGGTGGGGAAAATAAAAAAAAAATCGATTTGGATGTCTACAGATGTTTGTGAGTGTGTATGGGTGTCTATGAGTGTTTGGCGGCTAGGGTTTGTAGGAGGAGTTAGGGTTATGAGGAGTTAGGGTTTAAAGATTTCTGTGGGTGACTACGGATTACTACGGTTTCATATGGATTTTTGTAGATGTCTACGATCGAAAAAATAAAATAAAAAATAATAATTTTTAATTTATGTAGAAAAGAATGGGGAAAAGATAGATATTTATATAATAAAAAATACATAAATAAAAAAAAATAAAAAAAAAACAAAAAAGTGTGTTCCAAGTAAAAATTATAAAAAAAATGCTAGATGCAAACTTAAAAATGTTAAATAATACTATAGTTCATCATAGTATATTTACAATTTGGTGTAATTTCGAATTTGTGAGTGGAGGGGCATTTTTGAAATGAATTTAATTATGGATGTGAAGCAAATTTTAGTTAGACATTTCATTTAGTTCTAATAAGATTTGTCACCATGGATATCTTAAGACCCCAATTAATTAAGGATATTTATGTACTAATAATTTTATTTTATACAAATTAATCTAATTGATTAAATGACCTATATCTATATTCATCTAATAGAATAGATTTTTACCTATATAAGTCTAAAATAAGTGCTGTGTAGCAAATTTCCAGTTTTGTATATTGTATAATTTCCTTAATTACTCGTTACGCACCATGTGACAAAAATACCGGATGAAGATTATCTCTAATCCAAAAAAAGAAAAAAACATTGTAAGTTACTATATTTGTTAGTCCCGCAAAATAATTTCTGCCAAGAGTATATATAGTATGTTCATTAAACTCGTTAGTTATTAATTTACTAAATTACCTATAACCTAGCATTTATGCACTATAAATACACATTGTTCTTGCCAGAGAGAATCGACTCAGACGAACAAATCCAAATATTCGAATTCCGGAAAAAAAAATATGGAAGGAAAAGTTGTTATTAGAACAACAATATTGATGATTATGGCAAACTTAATTTTCGCGGTGAATAATAATCCCGTAAACTCGATAAAGGAGGCGTCGTATAGCGAATGCTACGTGAAATGTACTACAATCGAACATCACTGTTATACTGATCCACCTAATTATAGATGTATAGTTAATTGCCAACAGGCTTGTATTGCTTCTGAACCAAATTCGAAAAATCAGAGGCTTTCATCTTTGACGTCGTTTTGCCTTGTTGGATGTTCGGTCACTAAATGTTCCAAAATCACAGGTCTCTCTCTCTCTCTCTCTCTCTCTCTCTCTCTCTCTCTCTCTCTCTCTCTCTCTCTCTCTCTCTCTCTCTCTCTCTCTCTCTCCATATCTAGGTAGTGAATTATATACATTAATTTATGTAGTTCTTAATCTTACACCTTCATAATTACATATCTTACACATAATAATACGTATACAATTATATATATTAGTGTGTCTATATATATAAAGAAAATAATTTGGCTTGTATTTTTCATTTTTATTGTGTATATTATATGCTCATGAACAATATTTGTTTGACAGAGAGCGATCAATTGAAGAGTTGCATGGCAGATTGCTCCGACATCTATTGCAAGATTTGATGGCCTCACACTCCTATTGATTATAATGGTTAATGTTATAAATAATATCATTAGAGTATATTATATTATAATAATTCTTGTAATATAAGGATTCTATTATGATTCGGTTAGCTAGATTAGTTAGCATTTAGTTACCTAGTCAAACTCTATTACCTTGCAATATTTCTTTATATATATTCCATGTAATCAACCCATAAGGGTTTCTATTACGTATTATTATTTATCTCTTTCTCCTATTCTATTCTTCCTATATATATATATATATATATATATATATATGCTGAAATATGATATAGGCCAGACGGATGGAATGAAATGGTTAATGTTTTCATTGTAATTTTCGCAGCAATTAATGCATGTATTCTAAACAAATTATTATTGTGTTTGGTGTCTCATTTTTAACTTAATTGTTTAGTTTCGATTTCACTAATGTATAATTAGGTGGTTGTTGGGGCTAAATACTTAACACGCAAGTGCATGTATCGCAAACAAGTAAAAGTGGACTCGTGAGAGTCGGATGTCGATCCTACAGGGAATACTCAAATTATCTAATTCTAAGTACAAAATTCTAACAATTGTGATTTTTATCCAGCCTACGCAAGTTTGTCAAATTAAATCAATTAAACAATTAAACTAATTAAGAAAGCAAATAATCACGAGAAAATATCAATATAAAAACGGATCTAGGATTTTATCTTCCCCCTATGCGATAATTCATCACCCAATTAACCCTCTATCATGCAAGTTACGATTCCCGATTATTAACCCAAGACACGAAATTACTCATAACCCGCTGTCGCGTGTATCATTTTCATAAACGATTCACTATATGTCTATGCAAACCTAGTATGAATAAAACATTAAATAACAAGTCTCGTAAACGGCTACCTAAGGTGTTATCTATATGTCTACGATAATACATGCAATTAACACACGCATCCGGTGAAAACTACTCGAAGGCTCTTCTATCCTTGTTCTAATTATTAAAACGATCTGTCAATCAATTCTAACAATAACATATAGCAACATAAATTAGCTACGTTCATGCGCTAAATAAGATCAAATAGAAGAAATAATCAAGGAATTTAAACTTGCATAATATTAGAAAAATAGGTTCGAATTACCACATAGGGTTCCAAAAAAATCCTAGATTAAAAACTTAGCTACTCATGTTCTCTACGAAAAGCATAATAAAAATACGAAAAATCATAAAAGTTATGAATAAAAGTAAAGGGAGAACTATGATGAAGATTCGTCAAGTCTTCGTCGCTCCATTCTCTTGCTCCTAGATTGCGTGTAAAAAAATAAGATCATAATTGTGTGCTTTTTGGCCTTTAAATAGGGTGCAAAAATATAAGAGGGCGGTTTCCTTGTGTAATTAAACTTCCTTCACTGCGCCTCCTCGTGATCTCGGACGGCCGTGTGAAAATAAGCGCTGAAACTCGGACGGCCGTCCGGACTTCAATTCTTCGAAATTTTGATTTTTTTTACTTTTGGCCCACTTTTTCTCCGAAATTGCAGTTTTCACCCCATAAGTTTCCAATTCTTCAATTTGTACCTAAAATACAAATAATACTCATTTTAAGCACCAATTATTGTTAAAACACACCAAAAGCTCCAATTAAAAGGTATGATTAAGTGTAAAAATATACACTTAACACACCCCCAAACTTGAACTTTTGCTTGTCCTCAAGTAAACTCAGTTTATGAGCACAAAATTCGACTACACATCTCATTACATAGATCAATTGATCAATTTCACGCTTTCAGAACTTGTAATTATGATGACAATTTTTAGGCATTCGCAAGCTCAACATTCAACGGCACTTAGTCACTCACTATCACCAAAAACCACAAATCATACAATTGCTTCAAGTATCCAATATTTGCAAATTAAAGATAGAAAGAATTTATACTTACATGCATATATTTGACTCCAAATACTCATCAAATTATTCTACTCAACTAATATTGAGCATTAAGCTATTGGGATCATTGGGACTTTGTGGCTTTCAATTGTTAGGCTTTTTGGTTCGAGGTAGGAAATATGGGTACATGTGGCTATTGTTCTTGAATTGAGGTGATTACGCCGAAATTTTGAAATATAAGCGTTGAAACCACGAAATCACCTCTAAGGACTATAGTAAACTCGATTCTCAAAAGTTCAAAAGTCTCCACTTTTGCTTTTGAGGCAATGGATCGAGCTTTCAAAACAATTCAACAACTAGTCCTTACTTCTCCCTTCTAGTTTCTTCTTCTTCTTCTTTCTTTTCTTTTTTTTTTTTTTAAAAAAAAGAAGAAGAAAGACCTTATAAGAATTTTCGACCGAACTCCAAGGGGGTAATTACTCAAAAATCTCCACTTTTCTACCTTCTACATATTGGCTAAAAGAAAGAACACCTTTTCTCCGAGGCTCAAATCAAGGTTCTAAGGATAAGTTCGATAAAAAAGTATGCTTGAAAGGCTCAAACGGTTCAAAGAAGGCCCAAATCATATCCCAAATCACTTACTACCCAATACTTCGTATCATAAATGTCCTAAAGTGAGTTTTAAAACCGAACAAAGCATGATTTAGCACAAATAAATTCCAAATTGAAAATACAAAACATTCAACCAAAGCAATGCACAAGGTGTGATTCCTAATAATAATTCGCTTCTGCGTTCCGTTGAATCAAAAGCTAAACGAATATCTAATCCTTATCAAAACAACACAAATAATCTCATCAAACATTGATCATCTCTCATCATCATAACTCATCGATGCATCGGTCCAAGCAAATATATATATATATATATATTTTGTTTTCCTTTCTTTTTTTTTAACAAAGCAAATAATAAAAAGACAACTAAAACGAAACCTAAAACATGCAAACTAACAATCAAGTGAAACACAATTAAAATGCACATAAAAGAAAACAAATAATTAACCACCCCCAAACTTAAAATTCACATTGCCCTCAATGTGATTCGCCCGGAGTTGAAGGATATATAGAAAACACCTGTTTAAGCGTCTGGACCATCATCGGGTTTCTCACCAATTCCACCGTGCTCATGAGCATCACCATCCTTCTCATCCTCCAATAGCTCGGGTACCGGCTCTAGAATCGGTGCGGGTAACGGTTCCGGTTCGGCGCACTCGGGAGTACCGCACGCCAAATGGTGCACAATGGCTTGGAGCATCTTCCCTGACCATCGTTGAAGAGATTCGATTGTGCTAACTTTGTGCTCCACCGTGGCTAGCCGATTTCTAGTAATGACCAACTCTCGCTCCATTCTCCTTTGGAAACGGCGGTCCGAACTTGTGCTTGGACCCTCGGGTGGAGCTAATTGTTGGCCATCGACGGGTTGCTCTCCACCATAGATGGGTGCCTTGAATTGTCGGGCCGCAAGGTTACTAATCGGCTTCCGAATTTGTGTGTCAATATCCGTCGTTTTGGTTGGAACCTTCGCCTTCTGGCATAAGCCGGTAACGAGGCAAGGGAAATAGAACCCTTTGGAGTTGTTGGTCATGGAGATCCAAAAATGGTCGGATATGATCTCTCCAATATTAATCGGTGTGCCCTTCAAAATGTAATATGCAAGAGCACACCTTTCATGGTTCACTTGAGTCCACGAGCGAGTGGGGATGAGGTTGGCGCATATGAAAGTAAGGCACGCCTTGCCTATTTGGTGAATGCATTTCCACTCCAACTTGTATTCTTCCTCGGTGGAGAATTCGGACCAAATTGGGGGCCCATCGCATAATACCTCGCCGAGTTGATCTTTTGTGACTGCGAGTTGCATTTGTTCCCAATTGAATGGCTCATGTCGGGTGTTGTAGAAGGAGTTGATGGCCTTAGCACTCCAATCGACCCACTTCCCTCGAACCGTACTCGTCTTCCTATCCGAAGCTAGGAGGATACGGGTGTTGGCATAGAACTCGCGGACCAACGACAAGTTTATCGACTCCTCCGGTTCCAACAATGGTTGCCACCCTCGTCGTATGAATTCTCGATTCAACGGTTCAAATTGCGGTAGGGTGATTGCATATGCGTGCTCCGTCACAAGTTTCTTCACCTTTTGTTTTTCAAAACGGACTTTGGATCCTTCCACACAAAAGGCGTCTTCATCGGGAGTTGGAACTTGGTCGGCTTTCTTGCCCTTCCCCTTTCCTTTTGAAGTGCCTTCTCCTTTTGAAGTGCCTTCTCCGTCACGTTCTCTTTTTCCCATGATGTGAGAATGCTTTGTGGAAGGGATTTGAAGTGAATTGGTGTGCAAAATTTCCCGCAAACTTGACTCGGACAATTCGTCGAACACCTTGTGGGCGTTCCTTGTTGAATGAATTTGTGGAGAAATTTGCACCTTTCTTGAGTCCTCCCTGCAAGAATCAACAAAAATCCACAGTGTTTGAGTATTATATGTGTGTAGTTGGTGGATTTTTGATGAAATTTTTCAAAGAAAAGGGAAAATTTCGAAAGGAGGAGGCTAGGGTTCGAAGTGGGGGAGAGAGGGAATTTGAAATTGTGAGAATTGTTGTGTGAAAACCCTTTTTTAATATGCCCTTTTTTTATTCCGCACGGCCGTGTGAATAATTGTACTGTTTTCCCGTACGGCCGTGCGGAAATTGAATTTTAGGCAGTAGCCTACTGTTCTTCGCACGGCCATGCGAGAATTCAGTGTAAATTCCGCACGGCCGCGCCCCTACTCAATTTTTGGCAGTAGCCTCTCCGATTCTCGGACGGCCGTACGGAATTCTAGTTACTTTTTCGCACGGCCGCGCCCCTCGCCGAATTTATACAGTAGCTCCTCTAGAATCTCACACGGCCGTGTGAGATTTCTGCCTTTTTTCTTGCACGGCCGTGTGAATAATTGCAAAAATTGCAATTTAACCCCTGAAAAATAAAAATTTCAAATTTCGTTAGTGTGCATGCTTTTCAAAAAAAAAAAATAGATAAATAAAAACTAAAACTAACAAAATTAAAATAAAATAAAAGCAAGAAAAACGAAATCTCGGGTTGCCTCCCGAGAAGCGCTAAGTTTACAGTCTTCAGCCGGACTTTGTCTGCTGCTTTGTTCAAGCTAACGTGACCGAAGTCACTTGGCGATTGGATTTCCCTCCCCGGTAATGCTTGAGGCGTTGCCCATTGACTTTGAACGATTTTTCGGTTTCGGGATCCAATAACTCGACTGCGCCGTGCGGAAATACTTCGAGTATAGTAAACGGTCCGGACCATCTTGACTTGAGTTTTCCCGGAAACAACTTTAGACGGGAGTTGTAAAGGAGAACCAATTGCCCCTTTTGAAATTCTCGATGCAATTTCTTGTTATCGTGCCAACGCTTGGTTTTCTCCTTGTATACACGATTGCTTTCATAAGCATTCAATCTCAATTCATCGAGCTCGTTGAGTTGCAGCATTCGTTTCTCCTTCCACGCTTCAAGATCGAAATTCAGCTTCTTAATTGCCCAAAACGCATTATGCTCCAATTCAACCGGTAGATGACACGCCTTGCCATAAATCAATCGAAACGGTGTCATCCCAAGTGGAGTTTTGTAAGCTGTACGATATGCCCAAAGTGCATCATCTAATTTTCTCGACCAATCCTTCCGGGTAGGACTCACAACCTTTTCGAGGATGTTTTTGATTTCACGATTCGTGACCTCGGCTTGCCCGTTCGTCTGAGGGTGGTAGGCCAATGGGACCTTGTGCTTTACACCATACTTGGCCAAGAGTGCTTCGAATTGTTTATTGCAAAAGTGAGTGCCTCCATCACTAATAATTGCTCGTGGTGTTCCAAAGCGGGTGAAAATCTATCTTTTCAAGAAAGCACAAACCACTGCAGAATCATTAGTAGGAAATGCGGCCGCCTCAACCCATTTAGATACATAATCGACAGCCACTAAGATGTATATGTTATTGAATGATGGGACAAAAGGCCCCATAAAATCTATTCCCCATACATCGAAGGGCTCTACTTCGATCATTGTATTTAATGGGAGTTCGTGCCTCCTAGAAATATTACCAACTCGCTGGCATCTATCACAACTTGAAACAAAATTATAGCAATCTTTAAACAGAGTTGGCCAAAAGAAACCTGATTGAAGTACCTTTCTCGCCGTGCGTTCACCTCCATAATGCCCCGCATAGTCCGAGCCATGGCAATGAAAAAGTATATCTCCTTGCTCGCTTTCCGGTACACATCTTCGAATAACTAAATCGCTGCTTTGTCTAAACAAAAAGGGTTCTTCCCAAAAGTAGAAATTCACATCGTGTAAAAACTTTTTTCGTTGATGAAAAGTGAGCTCAGGTGGATGTACATGGCTAACTAAATAATTCACAAAATACGCATACCATGGTACTTATTGATTATCAATAACAAGCAATTGTTCATCCGGAAAGTTTTCATTAATGCAAATTGGATCTTTTAATTCCGTTTCTAGCCTAGATAAATGATCGGCTACTTGGTTTTCGCTACCCTTACGGTCACGAATTTCCAAATCAAACTCTTGCAACAGTAAGACCCACCTAGGGGTGGTAAACGAGCCGAGCCGGCTCGTGAGCTCGACGAACCGGCTCGTAAAAAGCTCGAACTCGGACTCGAGGCTTTCGAGCTCGAGCTCGAGCTCGCGAGCTCGAGCTTTCTGACGAGCCGAGCTCGAGCCCGATTTTAGTTGTTCATCAGCTTGCGAGCCGGCTCGCGAGCCGGATTTATTAATATTTTTTTATTTTTTTTATTTTTTTTTATTTTTTATATGTTATTTTTATTTAAAAATGTATAATAATATAAAATATTATAGAAATAAATACAAATATTAAAAAAAAATATAATCACAATTTTGTGTTTATTTTGTAATTTTTTAAAATATTTTTTAATAATAAAATAATAATAAAATAATAATAAAATAATAATAAAATAATATTTAAAAAAAGAAAAAAAAAAAAAAAAGGGATTGGGCTCGAGCTCGACAAAATTAACACGAGCTCGAGCTCGAGCCAGAAAAAGAAGAACTCGACGAGCTCGAGCTCGAGCTCGAGCTCGACACAATAAACTCGAGCTCGAGCTCGAGCCAGCCAAAAGAGGCGAGCTCGGCTCGAGCTCGGCTCGTTCACACCCCTAGACCCACCTAATAAGTCTAGGTTTTGCTTCTTTTTTTTCTATCAAATATTTTAAAGTCGAGTGATCCGTAAAGACAATGACTTTTGTGCCTATAAGATATGATCTAAATTTTTCGAATGCAAAAACAACTGCTAGCAACTCTTTTTCAGTGGTGGTATAGTTTAATTGCGCCTCGTTTAGAGTTTTACTAGCATAGTAAATTGAATAAAAAAATTATTCTTTCTTTGACCCAACACGGCACCTACTGCATAATCACTGGCATCACACATAAGTTCAAAGGGTTCATTCCAATCAGGCACAACAATAATAGGAGCAGTTACTAACCTTGTTTTCAAGTCATCGAAGGCTTTGAGGCATTCGTCATTGAAGTCAAATTTGACGTCCTTCTCCAACAAATTGCACAATGGTTTGGCAACCTTAGAAAAATCCTTGATGAACCGCCTATAGAATCCCGCATGTCCCAAAAAACTTCGAATCCCCTTTACGGAAATTGGTGGCGGTAATTTCTCGATTGTCTCGATTTTTGCTCGATCGACTTCTAACCCTTTCCTTGACACCTTGTGTCCTAGCACAATCCCTTCTTGCACCATAAATTGGCACTTTTCCCAATTGAGCACCAAATTTGTCTCTTCACACCTGCGAAGAACCTTAGCCAGTATTTGGAGACAAGTGTCATACGTATCACCGAAAACAGAAAAATCATCCATAAAAATTTCAAGACCACATTCAACCATGTCCGTAAAAATTGCAATCATACAACGTTGAAAAGTAGCAGGAGCATTGCATAAACCAAAAGACATACGTCAAAAGGCAAAAGTACCAAAATGACAAGTAAAAGTGGTTTTGTCTTGATCCTCGGGAGCTATGGCGATTTGGTTATAACCGGAATACCCATCTAAAAAATAATAAAATTCTTGACAAGCTAGCCTATCAAGCATTTGATCAATAAAGGGCAAGGGAAAGTGGTCTTTTCGAGTGGCTTTATTCAATTTTCTATAATCCATGCAAATTCGCCAACCCGTTACTGTCCTAGAAGGGATTAATTCATTTTTTTTGTTTTTTATAACAGTCATCCCCCCTTTCTTAGGTACACATTGTACTGGACTAACCCACGCACTATCAGAAATAGGAAAAATAATACCTGCGTCTAACCACTTGATGATTTCTTTCTTCACAACTTCCTTCATGATGGGGTTCAATCGCCTCTACTGTTCCACTGAAGATCTATGGCTCTTCTCCAATATGATCTTGTGCATGCTAAAACTTGGACCTATGCCCTTGATATCGGAAATAGTCCATCCAAGTGCTAGCGTGTGCTCTCTCAAGACATCCAAAAGTCTCTTTTCCTGCAGACCTGTCAAAGATGAAGAAATAATAACAGGTAAGGTATCATGAGCTCCAAGATACATATATTTTAAATGAGACGGTAAAACTTTAAGCTCAAGTTTCGGAGGTTCAATCATTGAAGGCTTTAAAGTGACAGATAACGGGAGCTTTGTTTCCAAACTTTCAAAGCGTGGTCTTGACAGTGGCTTTGCCGAATCCAACCAACATAATTGTTCCGTCACTGCTTCTTCCTCAACTGATGTTCCTACACTCAAAGATGCTTCCAACGGATCCGCAATTAAAGGTTCAATAAAATCAAAATTTAGTTGATCTAACACATCAAAAGCAAAACACTCATCACCCTCTTGAGGGTGCTTCATTGTACGGAAAACATCAAATTTAATCATTTCATCCCCCAAAGACATAGATAAAATTCCATTATACACATCAATTATAGTTCTACCCGTTCTCAAAAAAGGTCATCCCAAAATCAAAGGAATTTCTTTATCTTCTTCCATATCAAGAACTACAAAATCTGCAGGAAAGATGAATTTATCTACTTTAACTAGCACATCCTCTACTATTCCTTTTGGGTATATGAGTGATCTATCGGCCAACTGTAAAGTCACAGATACCAATTTTACATCTCCTAATCCCAAACTTTGAAAAACTGAGAAAGGCATGAGATTAATGCTCGCTCCTAAATCTATTAGAGATTTTGCAAAGAACTTACCTCCGATAGCGACTGGAATCGTAAACTTACCCGGGTCTCCAAGCTTTGGTGGAATTGGGCGAGTAAGAATGGCACTGCATTGTTCGGTTAAGGCTATCATCTCATGGTCACCGAATTTTCGTTTCTTCGATACCATGTCTTTCAAAAATTTTACCCAATGAGGCATTAGTTCAAGTGCTCGAGTAAAAGGAATATTAATATGTAATTCATTCAATTGCTCAAGAAAACTTTTGTAATACGACTCATTCTTCGCCTTTATCTGGCGTTGAGGATAAGGTACTTGTGGGGTCGTCTTAGGCGCAACGACCCTTTTCTCACCTGGTGGATCTGTCAGAGTCTCAACTTCTTTTTCTTGTTGCTCCCCTCCATCCTTGCTTGTTGCCTCCTTCGTCACTTCTTCCAATTGTCTCCCATTCCTCAAGCTTACGACCTTGCATTGCTCGTTGACGCCCTTTCGAGGATCCTCCGTATTTGAGGGTAACGTACTGGCTGGCCTCGCGTTTAGTTGGGTTGCAAATTGACCCATCTGTGTTTCCAAATTTCGGATGGATGCCTGGGTATACGTCATAAATTGGGCCAAGATATTTGCGAGGTCTCCCCCTTGAGATGGAGCTTGAGGCGGATTTTTGAATCCGGGAGCTGGCCGTGAATAATTAGGAGGTTGATCTTGAGGTGGTGCTTGCCTTTGTCCTTGTTGATTTCCTCCCCACCCAAATTTAGGGTGATCTTTCCATCCCAAGTTATAAGTGTTGGAGTACGGGTTCCTCTGTTGTCGTTTGGTGTCATGCACATAATTTAGAGACTCCGTTTCGTCTACGCATTGGTCGGGAGCTTGGACTGCGTGGACTTGCTGAGTCTGCAAAGCCGCTACTTGCTTTGATAGCTTCTCTAACTGGGCCGTGATTGCAGTGACCCCGTCTAACTCCAAAATTCCTCCCGTTTTAACGGCTCCGCTAATTGACCGATCCGATGCCCGCATGTAGTTATTTCAAGCGATTCACTCCAAAAGTTCGTATGCTTCGTCGTAGGTCAAACTTATGAACATTCATCCAGCTGCATAGTCGAGCACGGTCCTCGAGTTGTCTTGCAATCCATCGTAAAATATTTGCAGTTGGCGCCACTCTTGAAGTCCGTGATTCGGGCACCTCCTTATTAACTGCTTGAACCGCTCCCACGTCTCGAATAATGCTTCACCGGCTTCTTGTATGAAGTTTTGAATTTCTCTCTGGAGTCTCTCAGTTTTTGTTGGCGAGTTGTATGTGTTCATGAAAAGTTGTGCTAGTTGGAACCAAGACGAGATGGAGTGCGGTGCGCCAGTTTGTAACCATTCTCGGGCTGCTCCTTGTAAGGAGTGCTTGAACAGGCGGAGTTGCAGTGCTTCGGGTGATACTCCGTTCATCTTGTGTGAATCACACGTTTCGAGAAAGTTGACCAAGTGGAGATGTGGATCTTCATGAGCTAATCCGCTGAATAACCCATTGTTTTGGAGCATAGTGAGGAGTCCCGCTCGAATTTCGAAATTGTTGGCTTCAATGGGGGGCTGCTGGATGCTTGATTGAAACCCATTGAGTGTTGGAACGGTGTACTCATGCAATGCTCGTTGACGAGGTGGTGGATTAATTAGCTGGCGTTGCTCTTGCTCATTGACGATTTCTCCCGCCGCATTCGGTAGGAGCCCTTGGTCATCTCCCCCATGATTAATCTCTTCTTCCATCGTTGCGGGAGCGTTTTGAGCTAACCGTTGATTTCTCCTGGCTTGCCTAAACTTTCGCTCAATTTCGGGATCGAGAGATAGCAAGTTCGTGTCGTGTCCTCTTCGCATAAAAAGTACCTAAAACAAAATAATAAAAATAAAATAAGCAAATAAAATTATAAAATAAATAAAACGGTTGAAGTAAGAAAAATTGCTCAAATTTATTATTAGGATAAATAAATAATTTAGCCGTATTCCCCGGCAACGGCGCCAAAAACTTGTTGGGGCTAAATACCTAACACGCAAGTGCACGTATCGCAAACAAGTAGTAAAAGTGGACTATTGAGAGTCGGATGTCGATCCCACAGGGAATACTCAAATTATCTAATCCTAAGCACAAAATTCTAACAATTATGATTTTTATCCAGCCTACGCATGTTTGTCAAATTAAATCAATTAAATAATTAAACTAATTAAGAAAGCAAATAATCACGAGAAAATATCAATATAAAAACGGATCTAGGATTTGATCTCCCCCATATGCGATAATTCATCACCCAATTAACCCTCTATCATGCAAGTTATGATTCCCGATTATCAACCCAAGACACGAAATTACTCATAACCCGCTGTCGCGTGTATCATGAGTCTATTATTCATAAACGATTCACTATATGCCTATGCAAACCTAGTATGAATAAAGCATTAAATAACAAGTCTCGTAAACGGCTACCTAAGGTGTTATCTATATGTCTACGATAATACATGCAATTAACACACTCATCCGGTGAAAACTACCCGAAGGCTCTTCTATCCTTGTTCTAATTATTAAAACGATATGTCAATCAATTCTAACAATAACATATAGCAACATAAATTAGCTACGTTCATGCACTAAATAAGATCAAATAGAAGAAATAATCAAGGAATTTAAACTTGCATAATATTAGAAAAATAGGTTCGAATTACCACATAGGGTTCCAACAAAATCCTAGATTAAAAATTTAGCTACTCATGTTCTCTACGAAAAACATAATAAAAATACGAAAATCATAAAAGTTATGAATAAAAGTAAAGGGAGAACTATGATGAAGATTCGTCAAGTCTTCGTCGCTCCGTTCTCTTGCTCATAGATTGCGTGAAAAAAGATATGATCCTAATTGTGTGCTTTTTGGGCTTTAAATAGGATGCAAAAATATAAGAGGGCGGTTTCCTTATGTAATTAAACTTCCTTCACTGCGCCTCCTCGTGATCTCGGACGGCCGTGTGAAAATAAGCGCTGAAACTCGGACGGCCGTCCGGACTTCAATTCTTCGAAGTTTTGATTTTTGTTACTTTTGGCCCACTTTTTCCGAAATTGCAGTTTTTACCCCATAAGTTTCCAATTCTTCAATTTGTACCTAAAATACAAATAATACTCATTTTAAGCACCAATTATTGTTAAAACACACCAAAAGCTCCAATTAAAAGGTATGATTAAGTGTAAAAATATACACTTAACACACCCACAAACTTGAACTTTTGCTTGTCCTCAAGTAAACTCAGTTTATGAGCACAAATTTCGACTACACATCTCATTACATAGATCAATTGATCAATTTCACGCTTTCAGAACTTGTAATTATGATGAAAATTTTTAGGCATTCGCAAGCTCAACATTCAACGGCACTTAGTCACTCACTATCACCAAAATCCACAAATCATACAATTGCTTCAAGTATCCAATATTTGCAAATTAAAGATAGAAATAATTTATACTTACATGCATATATTTGACTCCAAATACTCACCAAATTATCATACTCAACTAATATTGAGCATTAAGCTATTGGGATCATTGGGACTTTGTGGCTTTCAATTGTTAGGCTTTTTGGTTCGAGGTAGGAAATATGGGTACATGTGGCTATTGTTCTTGAATTGAGGTGATTACGCCGAAATTTTGAAATATAAGCGTTGAAACCACGAAATCGCCTCTAAGGACTATAGTAAACTCGATTCTCAAAAGTTCAAAAGTCTCCGCTTTTGATTTTGAGGCAATGGATCGAGCTTTCAAAACAATTCAACAACTAGTACTTACTTCTCCTTTCTATTTTCTTCTTCTTCTTTCCTTTTTTTTTAAAAAAAGAAAAAGAAAAAGAAAGACCTTATAAGAATTTTCGACCGAACTCCAAGGGGTAATTACTCAAAAATCTCCACTTTTCTACCTTCTACATATTGGCTAAAAGAAAGAACACCTTTTCTCCGAGGCTCAAATCAAGGTTCTAAGGATAAGTTCGATAAAAAGGTAGGCTTGAAAGGCTCAAACGGTTCAAAGAAGGCCCAAATCATATCCCAAATCACTTACTACCCAATACTTTGTATCATAAATGTCCTAAAGTGAGTTTTAAAACCGAACAAAGCATGATTTAGCACAAATAAATTCCAAATTTAAAATACAAAACATTCAACCAAAGCAATGCACAAGGTGTGATTCCTAACAATAATTCGCTTATGCGTTCCGTTGAATCAAAAGCTAAACGAATATCTAATCCTTATGAAAACAACACAAATAATCTCATCATCAAACATTGATCATCTCTCATTATCATAACTCATCGATGCATCAGTCCAAGCATATATATATATATATATATATATATATATATATATATATATATATATTTAACACATAAAAAACAGTTATTGATATCTACAGAAAAATAAGAAAATAAAGTAATTGTTAGATAAGAAAAAAATGATATAAGAAAAATGGGGGAAAAAAAAGAAAAAAAAAAAACAGTTCTTAATCCAAAATCCTAACCAAAATACGGATTGTGTGTTCCGTATGTAGTCTGTTAGTATGTAGAACCTTCCCATCGTTTGTTGTTAGCAATTTTCCTTTGCAGGTTGGGTCAACTCGTTTGTCGTTTGAAGAATTGTGTTTGGTGTTGAGATTTGATCCATCTGGATTACAATTTTCAATATATGTTTTAAGTTACATTTTGCAAATATTTTTTTAATGTATTTGTTGTTTGCAAAGTGTTCCATAAACAATTTTTTTGTTGATGTTTTTAATGATGCTGTTTTTTTTTTCTTCAATCTGTTGTTTAGCTAGTTTGTTGTTTGCAATTCAATAATGCAAATTCCGTTGATTTTTTTTCTTTACTTTGTTGTTTGCATTTTGACGAAATCGAGGTAGCTTGTTGTTTGCAATTCAATAATGCAAATTTTGAATTTTTTTTAGAGTTAAATACAAAAACACACATGTACTATGAACTTTGTATCATATACCCCATATATATATATATATATATATATATATATATATATATATATATATATATATATATATATATATATATATATATATATATAGCCATTTTTTACTATATATTTTACCATTTCAATGAATTTTATGTGGAAAATTCTGGTATTTATATTTGTTTCTCCGAAACATCTAGTTGCTTAGATTTTTTTTTTTCTGAATAAAAACCTTTTATTTTTGTCATTTTGAGTTTCTTCTTTTTTTTTTCTTAAAAGTCTTCCGGTAGTTCAAACATCCTAAGATTGCAAACAACTTTACAATCCTATTATTGTTGAAAATTTGAACTACCGGAAGACATTAAAGAAAAAAATGAAGAAATTCAAAATGACAAAAAATAAAAGGTTTTATTCAGAAAATAAATAAAAAATCTAAGTAATTAAATGTTTTGAAGAAAAAAAAAAATATCAAAATTTCCCAAGTGAAAATGACCGAAAATGTTAAAAACAATATAGTGAAAAATGTCTCAAACAAACCCTTATATTTATAGGCTTAATAGGGGTATTTTCGTCAGATTTTGGAAAAAATATAA